TTGGATATTTGGACTTACTGGCTAAATTTTCTAATTTTCATATGTATATTTCTTAGCTATCTTCTAACTTTGTGTTTTCTTCCCCCCAAGAGATTTTCTTAGTACGTTTTGAACTTTAATTTCTGCCAGCATATTTTTCATTTCATATTTAATTTTTCATTGGCCTCTGAATGTTTCATTTAAAAATGGGATCCTGGGACTTCCCTGGTGGTCCAGTGGTTAAGTGTCTGCCTTGCAATGCAGGGGACTTGGGTTTAGTCCCTGGTTGGGGACCTAAGATGTCACATGCCCCAGAGCAACTGAGTCCTCACTCCACAAATACTGAGCCAGTGTACCACAGTGCATGATGCAACGAAGGTCCTGCATGCTACAACCAAGACTGATAGGGGCAAATAAGTAAATAAATATTAAAAAAAAAAAAAAAATGGGATCCTGGTCTTATTTCATGGAAATAATGTTTTCTCTTTTCACTCTAGAATATGAATTGAATTATTTTGCTGTTGCATAGTTTTTGCCTGCTCGTCATACTTTTCTTTTTTTAATCAGCTTGATTTGTGTTTCCTCTTTTTATCAGCTTGTTTTGGCCCCTGATTTTAATGTTAGAGGCTTTTCTCTAATGGTGAGACTTTAATAGCCTGTTCGTATTTGGGAGTGAGACTACAAGAAATGGACGGGAAACTTGTTTACCTAGTGGGCTTTACTGTAGGTTTTGGGGGTAGGAACCCAGATGTTTGAGCTGCTGACTCCTAGATATCAGAATCTGCAAATCTTTTTTTCTTGGATCTTTCTATTTCTCCAAAAGGTCCTCCTTTGTTCACCTTTTTGTGGGGTAAAAGCCTGCCTGTGAGGATTTGGGTGAGTCACAGGGGGGAGGGGGCAAGAGGTCTCACCACCCAAGCCTATCACCACTGAGCTCTTGATGTGTCTATTCTGGCCCTCTAAGTCTGAAATTTTGCTATATCATTTTCTCCAGAGAGTAAACTACTTTCCGTCATGGAAGTAGGGACGGTTGGTCTGGCTCTACCAGTTGGGGAGAAGACCTGAGGTATTAAATACATTTTTTGGTTATTGTTTAAAATGACACACGTTTATTACCTTGAAGTTCTGTAGGTCAGAAGTCTGGCATGGGTCTTAGTGGAGTAAAGTCAAGGTTGTCTACAGGGCTACATTCCTTTCTAGAGGAGCGTCCATTCCCTTGCTTTCCCAGCTTCTGGAGGCTGGCTGCATTCCTTGGCTCTCGGCCCACCCCACCCCCTCCTTTAAAGGGGCAGTGCAGGTCAGGTACATCTCATGTTGCGTTTCTTTGACCTTCTCTTCTGCTTCCCTCTTTCATTTTTGAGGACTCTTGTGGTTATGTTTCCCTGGAGGAGGACATAGCAACGCACTCCATGGACAGAGCAGCCTGGTGGGCTACAGTCCGTGGGGTTGCAGAGTCAGACACGACTGAGCGACTAAGCACACAGCACGTGATTACACTGAGCCCGTCTGAATAAATCAGGATGATCTCCTTAATTTTTTTATTGGGGTAAAAATCATAATTTAAAATATACCATCTTAACCTTTTCAATGTGTAATATGGTAGTGTTAAGTGTATTCACATAGTTAGGCAACAGGTCTCTGTAATTTTTTCTTCTTGGAAAACTGAAACTCTATACCCTTTTAATCAACTCTCCTTACCCTAGTCTCTAGCAGCCACTGTTCTATTTTGTGTTTAAAGAGTTTGACTTCTTCAGTTGCCTCATATAAGTGGAATCTTACAGGATTTACTTTTGTGATTGGCTTATTTTATTTAGTGTAGTACCCTCAATCAAGGTTTATCCTTGGAGCATATGACAGTATTTCATTTTTTTTTTTTTAAGAGTAAATAACATTTTACCTTTTGAACTTTTTATTTTGTATTGGAGTAGAGCCGGTTAACAATGCTGATAGTTTCAGGTGAATAGTGAAGGGACTCAGCTATGTATGAACATGGATCCTTTCTCCCTCAAACCCCGCTCCCAGCTAGGCTGCGGCATTAACATTTAGCAGAGTTCCATGTGTTTAAAAAAAAAAAGTAAATAATATTTTATCATATTTACATACCACATCTTCTTTATCCGTGCATCTGTTGCCTCCTGGTTTTTGTAAATAAAGCTGTAATGAACGAGCTTGTGCAAATACATCTTTGAGATCCCGCTTTTAGTTTCCGGCCTGGGGTAATAGACCTGGAAGTGGGATTGTTGGATCATGGGGTAGTTCAGTTTTAATTCTTTATAGAACCTTCATGCTGTTTCCCATAAAGGGGCTGCATTGTTTTACATTCCTACCAGCAGTGCACAAAGGGTTCCCTTTTCTCCATGCCAGCACTTGTTATTTGGGTCTTGATTGTGGTCATCCTCACAGGTGTGAGACGGTATCTTATCTGGTTTTGATTTTCATTTCCCTCATGAGTAATGATGTTGAGGATGCTACCATATGCTTGTTGACTGTACATCTTCTTTGGAGAAATGTCTCTTCAGGTTTTGTGCCCGTTTTTTATTTGGGTTATTTGGCTTTTCGTATTGAGTTGTAGAAATTCTTTCTATGTTATGGGCATTAATTTCTTATCACAAACACAATTTGCAAATATTTTCTTCTGCTTCCTTGGTTTCCTTTGCTTCACAGAAGTTTTTATGTTTGATACAGTCTCATTTGTCTCTTTTGAAAGTTTTTGTTGCCTATGCTTTTTGTGTATAGTCAAGAAATCATTGCCAAATCCAGTGTCATGAAGATTTTGCCCCATGTTTTCTTCGAGGAGGTTTATAGTTTCAGGTCTTACATTTAGGGTTTTAATCCATTTTGAGTTCATTTTTATTTAAAGTATAAAGTAAGGGTCCAACTGCCTTTTATACAGTCTGTCAGTCTACCTCCCTCTTCTCAGCTCCTTCCTCTCTTCTCCCAGGAACCAGAAGCTCCATTTCCTGAGCCTTTCTGGAGCAATCAGGGGGATTTTTGTTTGCTTCTAAGGCAGTGAGCTTGTGGCCTGCTTTCCTCTGCTCTAGTCTGCTCAACAGTCATCTCTGCCTTCAGCTTGCAGAATGCCATTGTGGCCTTCAGCTTACAGAATGCCATTGATGTCTGTTGTCCTCACTAATTTTCTGTTCTCTTTGTCCTTATGGATTTATATCTTTTGTCCTCTTTGCTATAATTTTAATGGGATTCAGAAGGAAGTAGAGATAAACAGACCTATTCCACTGGGCATCCCTAATCCCCACATCCATGTTGCTCTTGAAAGTGATATTTAAAAGGCTTTAAAAAAATGATAATTCACATTTGCTATTGTTAGATCCTACCTCTGAAAATAATTGTTCAATCTGTTTCTTTGATTCTTTTTATTAACCACTTTCTGTCAAGTGACCTGTAAGCATCCAGGATAGCATTAATTAAAATTATTTTCCCAAACATTATTTCATTACTCAAAGTAAACAGATTTTTTTCATGAGACTTACTGAGGTCTTGAATATAAGGTGACACCCTATTTCCTGAGGTTTACTTTTTTTAGGTGCGGGGGAGCCCTTGATTTACCTTTAGGTGTTTACATTCTATTTTGGTCAAAAGATGATGTTCTTGGGAATTCCCTGGCAGTCTAATGATTAAGACTCTATGCTTTCACTGCCGAGGGTGTGGGTTCAATCCCTGGTTGAAGAAGTAAGATCTTGCAAGCCATTTGGCATACCCCTCCCTCCCCCTCGAAAATAGAAGATGATAATGTTCTTTTGTATAAATATATTTTTCTCTGAAGCTTTAATTGAACAGTTTAAAGGTAATGGCAAGAGAGTCTTTTTTGTTTGTTTTTAGTTAGTTTGTGACAGCTTTCTTTTGACTGTATTTGATTATTTACAAAGGTGGTGCTATTTCTTATAGATAGGATAAAGATTGATTAAAGTGGGAGATCGCTTAGTGTAACTAGGTCTTTAGGGGCTATCACAGAATTAAGCCTGCTAGTTGGCTTAAGATAGGAACCCAGTTTGGTCCATGTAAATCCCTAGGGTTTTTATCCTGGGGGTCCAGGGATAGGCTTCAAAGAGTTCAAGATCCTCCTGAAATTTGAGTGGTGGTATCCCCTGGAAAAGGGAGTGGCAACGCACTCCAGTATTGTTGCCCGGAGAATTCCATGGCCCGAGGAGCCTGGTGGCTTACAGTCCATGGTGTCGCAAAGCGTCAGACTTGACTAAGCAACTGACACTTCCGCTTCAGAACAGGCTTGGTTATCAGCAGATATCCTATGATGCAGCACTTATGTGATCCTGAAAAGAGTTGAAAACCCACATCTAATAGACTAATATAAAGAAAAGAAATAGAATGTTACTGATTAAATCGAACATGATCAAAATAGATGCCATTGGATTCCACATTCTTTCACATGTAAGTACAAATCGCCATCAGTGAGGGACTAAATGAACAACTTTCTTAGTATTTGTTGGATACAAAACATTATCTCCAGCTTCCTGATTATGCACCCACCCATTTATACATATATAAGTATAAAAAGTATCATTTATGAGGGTAATGTTTTAGCCTGGAGGAAAACACCTTTTTATCAACCAACTTTTAAAGTGGGTAATTTAGTAATTGCCCTTTGTTTTCATAGTAAAATGCTATAATTTGTGAATATCAGTTATTTGTTGACAATTGAAGATAACAGATAATATATAGAAGGGGAGACGCCACTATTATAGAGGCATAGATAGAGGATTACAGACTTTGGTCTTCAGTTAAAAAAAGATGGGATAGGTTTTATGTTATGCATATTTTATGACAATTTTTATAAAAAACTTGAAAGAAAGAGATAAACAAAAAGCTGGGAATGAGGAAATATGGGGGTGGGGAATGTCAGTTGTGAATTTTTTTGTCTCCAGCCTGATACTTTAAAACTTATTTATGCTCTTGTTTACAGTGAAGTGTATTCATTGATAAGATCTCTTTCCACATAGGAATTCCATTTTCAAGGTGATTAAGCTTAAATTGCTCTTCTCTTCTAGGTACACCAGTAAGTTCTTTGGAATACACAAAAGTATCTGACAAGAAAGCTTATGAAATAGAAGACAAGATCCTGGCCCAGGAAGCGTACATGAGAATAATTTTAAAGGAACCCAGCGATAAATGCAAAACAGTAGCTGTTGGAGGTATGTCATGACTTAGAGCTTGCATTGAGCCTGGTGTGGCACACTCTGCTATAGGAAGTCAAGGTGAGCCGCTCTCCGAGAACCTTCAGAGAGCAGAACCTCAGTCTCTGGCCTCACACACATGAGTGGCTGTTGTCTGAACTTGACTTTGTGATGGGATGAGTTCAGTCAGTCAGTCAGTTCAGTCACTCAGTCGTGTCCGACTTTGCGACCCCATGAATCGCAGCACGCCAGGTGTCCCTGTCCATCACCAACTCCCTCAAACTCATGCCCATCGAGCCAGTGATGCCATCCAGCCATCTCATCCTCTGTCGTCCCCTTCTCCTCCTGCCCCCAATCCCTACCAGCGTCAGGGTCTTTTCCAATGAGTCAACTCTTTGCATGAGGTGGCCAAAGTATTGGAGTTTCAGCTTCAGCATCAGTCCTTCCAATAAACACCCAGGACTGATCTCCTTCAGGATGGACTGGTTGGATCTCCTTGTAGTCCAGCGGACTCTCAAGAGTCTTCTCCAACACCACAGTTCAAAAGCATCAATTCTTCAGTGCTCAGCTTTCTTTATAGTCCAACTCATATCCATACATGACTACTAGAAAATCAAATCATCTTAATCTCTGACTAAATTGACTCTGGGTTGGGACCTCCCCTGTGGTCCAGTAGTATAGACTCAGTGCTCCCAATGCAAGCAGCCTGGATTCAGTCCCTGGTCAGGGAATTATACATCCCACATGCCACAGATGAAAGATCCCATGTGCTGCAAGTAAGACCCAGTGCAGACAAGTAAATAAATAGTTTAAAATGTAAATTCACTCTGGGTTAAGATGGTCTGCCTGTAGCCTATATACCCATGATAAGCAAAAGCATATGCTCTCCAGAATAAGTTAATAACATACAGAGTGTCAAATGATAGCTACACTTTTCCATATACAATAGAGAGCATTCAGCTATTTAAAAAAACAGAATATGGGAAAACAAGGCCTGACTGAAAACTCAGGGGAAATAAACAGACCAGTTTTGACTGAAAAATCAAGAGAAACACAGTGGACAAAAGACTCAAACTCACTGATCCAGATACCAGATGACTTAAATTGAGGTATGATAAAAGAACTAAGTGACAAAATGGAGACTTGTACTAATAAACTAGAACCTTTTAAAAAAAATGAATTCTAGAGCTGAAGACAGCTCTCCAGCTTAAATAGGCAAAAGAATGAAAAAAGGCAAGAAAGAATGTTCAAGATATGGGACATCATGAAAAGGCCACATGAGGAAGGTTTGGAGAGAGAGGATGAGACACAAGTGATATTCGAGAGATGATGTTTGAGAACTTTCCAAAACGGACAAGAAATATCGAGTCANAGGAGAGATAAGAAAGCCTTCCTCAGTGATCAATGCAAAGAAATAGAGGAAAACAACAGAATGGGAAAGACTAGAGATCTCTTCAAGAAAATTAGAGATACCAAGGGAACATTTCATGCAAAGATGGGCTCAATAGAGGACAGAAATGGGATGAGTTAACTCTTTCCTAAGCAGCTCTGATCAGCCCCTCTGGAGCCCTTCCTATTGCTTGGCAGATGATAAACAATAGAGACAATATTTGACTCTGGACATTTGAAAGCTATATAGTGAATTTCTAACCAGAAACCTCACCGTCTTCTCTTCTGAGAATGGGCCAGCCAGTATCATAGCTCAGTGAATGTGGCCTTTGAATAAGCTGTTATTTATTGGCTTTTTCTCTACCCTATGTGACATCAAGGCCATATCTGAGTCTGATTGGGTGGTGGCTACATTGGATTCACTAGTTCCTTATTAGTCACTGAGTTTGACCTGCTAGTCTCCTTGACCTTCCAACACCTGCCCCCTACCACCAACCAAGTTACAATGTTAAGTGGTAAACTTCATTTTCTTGCTCATAGCTATAATTCTTATCTTCTCAACTAAGTTTATCATCAGGGTCAGTATCATGCATTATTTTGTATTTTGTGACTTTCAGTGCATGTCCATCTTTTGATTCACTGGCTCTTTTGTTAATGGCATAGCCTATGTCATGTTGATACTTTAGGGTTTTTTTCCACATCTACCAATGTAGAATACTTTAAATGAACCCTGTGCCAAGTAGTTTATTTCTTTAATCATCACACCATCATGAGAACATTAAACAACTCCTGCTTTTCTAGATGAGGGTGCTGAGGTTCCACGTGGTTAAATAACCGGCCTACTATTTCTGAGAGAGTAAAGGCAGATATGGGATTCAGCACTGGGTCTGTCTGTCCCGTATTGTGCGCAATGAAGACAGTATATCGTGCCCTTTCCCCTTTTTGAAGCAGGGTTGGAAAAATATCCAAATGTTTATTGAATTGTAACCTTCTGCTCTACCTTCTTCACGATTTTTTGTTACTTTTTCCCATTTCATGGTTTCTTATTTGGTTTATAATTATATATATTTATAGCATTAATTAGCAAATTAAAATCAAGTATTTTCTAATTTTATAATTTTACTGAGAATATATTGTTGGTATGAGACATCATTGAAGTATGTCCTCTTTCTAATAGAGGCTCTGATATCTTTGTTGATGCGTTCTGAATTGCTTATGAGGCCAGTATAGGAAGTACAGGGCTTCCCCAGCAGCTCAGGCGTAAAGAATCTGCCTGCAATGCAGGAGATCCAGGTTCAGTCTCTGGGTCAGGAAGATCCCCTGGAGAAGGAAATAGCTACCCTCTCCAGTATTCTTGTCTGGAGAATTCCATGGACAGAGGAGCCTGGAGAGGTACAGTCCGTGGGGTCACAAAGAGTCAGACACGACTGAGTGACTAACACTTTCACTTTCTTTAGGAGTAAGAGTGGACCTTGATGTTTCTGATGTAATCCTGTTATGTCTCCAGATTTGCACCAGTGCCCAGATACTTTCAATATAGTTATTGAAGATGATATAGATAAGGAATGATGAGATTTTGCTAGAAATCTTCTTGCATGGTTCACAAACTTATTTCAGAGCCTGGATCCTTTAAAATATAGAACCATCTACTCAAGTGCTTAGTTTTGGCTCAGATGATTGTTTTGAAGTGTGTATATAGCTTGGACATTGCCCTGAAAGATGTGTTTTAAGTTTGAGTTTAAGAATAAATCATATCTATTTTTTTTTTTTTTGATCCCCAGTAGTGGGCTGCATGAATTGAAAATCTGTATATTTAGACTTCTAAAATATTTTTATTAAATTAGCAGAGGCTCTGTATACTGAGAAGTATTTTGAATCTTCACTAAAATCCTGGGCGGGTTGGTGTGGCAACCTTCTTTGAAAGATGGATAACCTGAAGCTTGTGATATTACAAAGCTTGCCCAAGCCTGTGCAGTTAGAGAATGGTGGAGCCAGAACCCGAACCTAGATTTGTCTGATTTCACGGACTGTGCTTTGAACAAATACTCTGCCCCACTGATTACACGGTGGTGACATTCAGATTGCAAATGTGTCCAAGGATTTTTTTCTGCTTTGTGTTAATACAAAGGCAGTCTTAAAACAAACAGTTAAATAGGCCTCGTCCTCACAGAAGCAAAGGCTTCTAGATAGGCCTGGTGCAGTCACTGATGGGGTTACAGCCAAACAGTGACAGTTCTGTTGTGATGGGCTGAGAACTGGGAACCATGCCTCCCTGTTTCTGCCTGTCCGTTCCCACACGGAGCCTATTACACTGCGTGTTGCGTACTTACTCGCTAAGTCATGTCTGACTCTCCTTTGGCTGCATGGACTGCAGCCCACCAGGCTCCTCTGTCCCTGGGATTTCCCAGGCAGGATTACTGGAGTGGTTGCCATTCCCTTCTCTAGGGGATCTTCCTGACCCAGGGATCAAACCCAGGTATCCTGCTTGGCAGATGGACTCTTTACCACTGAGTCATCAGGAAAGCTGCCAGGATCAATTAGGCTTGGCTCACCTGAGTCCCCTCCAAAGCAGATGTGGCTGGAGTTTGGCTACACAGTCACACAGGTCTGGCATTGGGATATGAGTCTCAAAATTTATGAAATATACAAACCTTGGAACTTCAGGTATATTGTATCAATTTTACTAAAAGGGAAATTTCTTTTTGTTTTTAAATGTACTGTTTTCCTGNTGAATATTCAGGACTGATCTCCTTTAGGATGGACTGGTTGGATCTTCTTGCAGTCCAAGGGACTCTCAAGAGTCTTCTCCAACACCACAGTTCAAAAGCATCAATTCTTCGATGCTCAGGTAGACCTAATTCTCATTCAGTTTTGTTAAAACCCCTCCACATTAGGACACTGTGGTAGGACAGAAATATTAAAAGAAACAAGAACTCCATAAATGCCACTAGTTTTCATGGTGTCTTATAAAATAACTAATGCTGGTTAAGAATATGATGAGAAAACCCACATCACTTCTTCTGACACATTATACAGAGAACCTGACTTGTGAATTTCCCATTACAAATGCATGAAGGAAGTACTGGAAATTCCCCATTGACCTGTAAAATTTGAAACCTCCTTTTTCTTTCATTGAAGTAACCCATCTATGATAGGTAACTTTAGTTTTTTCCATGGTTACAAGAAACTTCTCAAATCCTGATTTGTAGATAGTTTGGTCCTATGAGCTTCTTAAGGTACTTGATGCTTCATATACTAGTTAGTTGAGCATTTCTCCCTCAGTTTTTTTTTTGCCTAAATATTTTATAAGTGTTCAACACTAAGTCAGGCAGCTGTAGTGACCTGTGGAAACCTGAGTGATGCTGCTTTGCAATCTCTTAGATAGACATTCACAGTACAAATATGGCTTCTCTTGAACTGAAGAGTTCTGTGCTTCTAGGAGTCAGAGTTCTGAAACAGAGAAAGTAATTATAACGGAGATGGGTCAGCATTTAATACATGCCTCCTATTCAGGACGGCTTCCCGCGTGGCATGGTGGTAAAGAATCCGCTGCTAATGTAGGAGTCACCGATTCTATCCCCAGGTGAGGAAGATCCAACAGAGGAGGAAATGGCAACCCACTCCAGTGT